TTTTGCTGTTCGAGCTGCCACTGTTGCAGGTTTTCTTGCCACTGCTGTAATCTCTCTTCTTGTTTCTTTTCTTTTTCCTCCAACCACTGCTGTAATTTCTTTTCTCGTTCTTCCTGTTTCTCTTATTTTTCCTCCAAGAACTGGTGTAATTTCTCGTCTTGTTTCTCTTCTCGTTCTTCTTGTTTCTTTTGCTGTTCTTGTATTGCTGCCATCAAATCTGCTAAGCTGTAGTTTGATTTGCCGCTTCTCGTTTCCATTTTTTTTGTCCCACTCTCTGACACCAATTTGTTACGCCTACGTTCGTTAGTTAATTTTCTGTATAATTTCTTTTTGAAGAAACTTTTAAGCGATACAAGTCCTTTCTTAAATGAAACTGGTTTATTCTTTCTAAATAAAACTTTGCAATACACTTAATTTCCACAGTCACGCTATAACAAATGCTATAATTCACAACAAACGTCTCACCTGCTCAACTCAACAATACTCTCTCTCTGTCTGCAGTTCAATTACTCAATACATTGTTGCCGTCACGTCTTGACCGTCTTATATATAAAAGAATACCGAAATCTAGTAACCTCCTGAGGATTCACAAAGCTTCGAGAATATGACGTGTTACTAGCGTCACGTGACCTCCACTGTCGTAACAATATAATACACAACTGAAATATAAGCCTATCATACTTTACACAGTTTTTAATAAAATGATAAGCATGTAACATGAAAAAATGTTACATGTCAGTTTTTTGTATAGGGATAGAATTCTTTACAGTAGGTATTTGTGACTTGTTGCTTGGTCGTTGTAGCTGGTGCATCTTATATGTGGGTTAGCTTCTTCTCTTTCATGGCTATCTGTTGGTCACCAACCTTGTGTCCAACAAACTTCAGCAAAGGATAGTCGATGTAGCACTTAGACGGTCTGATGGTCAGATCTGCTGCCCTCACTCAACTCAACAGCTCTCTAAGTTTCTTCAGGTGGTCTTCCCATCTCACTGTGTGTATCAGAATGTTGTCCACATAATTTTCAATGTTGGTGGTGTGGTACAACATCTTCCTCATCATGTGGTTAAATGTTGACTAACCCAAACGACATCCTCTTAAGCTGGTAACATCCATCTGGTGTCACAAAGGCTGTCTTCTCTTTAAATCCTATCTCCATCAGGATCTGCCAATAACCTTTACTGAGGTCGATCTCTGAAAAGAACTTGACTCTGTGTAGTTTTACCATGATAACCTATGGGTTGCTCATAGGTTGGAGTAACACTTTGTCACGGGGTTCAGCTTCTGGAAGTCTATGCAGAAGCAGTTTGATCCATTCCTCTTCTTCACAATGACCACTGGTGAACAGTAGGCTGAATTTAAAGGCTCGATGATTCCAGCTTCTACTATTGCCTCAACTTCCTGCTTTATCAGGTCTTTCATTGTATAGGTCATCAAATAGGGCTTCACCTTGACTGGATCCCTGGTGGTAGTCTCAATCTTGTGTTGCACAAAGTTTGTCTTGCCTGGTCTATCTGTGAAGACACCTACATACTGATGTAGTAGATTTTGTAGCTCTTTCTTCTGCTTGCCAGTCAGTTCATCACTGATGTTGAATGTCTCATTTCCACCCAGTAAGTCTTAGGGCTAGTAGGTCTTCAGCTTCTATGACAGCCACACCTGCAACATCCATCTGTACCTCAATAGCTGTACCTGTTATGTCAAAGTACCTCTTCAACAGATTGGTGTGGTAGATCTTGGTCTTCCCATCCATTTTCACCTTATAGTCCATTCTGTTGATCACTTCCTGTACTTCAAAAGGCCTATCCACTGCAGGGTGAGTTTGTTGCTGGTTGACATTGAAACGTTGCTTCTGACTGCCTTGAGCAGCATGAAAGCTCTCTTGAGAGAGTTGACAGGTCTCCTCCAGTTGGTTTCTGTGGTCTAACACGTACTGTTATGTGTTCTTCACATCTTACTTTTCTTCTCCTATGCATAGCTCTTTCAATATCTGCATTAGGCCTCGTATTGTTCTTTCATACAGTAATTCAAAAGGTAAAAATCCCGTACTTGCTTGAGGGAGTTCTTGATAAGCAAATAACACTGCCTGCAGGTACATGTCCCATCCCAGTCACGTGGTCTCTCTTGGCACATCTTCTTCAGCATGTTCTTTAGGACTTATTAGCTTTCTCATAAAGTCCATTACATCTAGAGTTGTACAAGGTGATAAAGAGCTGCCTAGTACTGATAAGTCTGCACACCTCTTGCATCAGTTAACTGGGTCCCTCTTTCAGTCAGCACTTATTTCAGAAAGCCCATTCTGCAGAACACTTCCAGGAGGGCTTCTGAATAATGTGTTGCATAGTCAAATACTGTCAGCACATACCAGTTGCCTTTGTCAGAAACAGGTGCTAGTGGTCCAATTAAGCCCACAGCTACTCTGCTGAATGACACACATCTCATCCGATGGTATCTTGACTATCTCTCTTCTGGATAGTGTCCTTTGGCAGATGTCACATAACCTGCAGAATCTGGTCACATCTCCAATGACCCCCAGCCAATGGAAGTTGCTGGCGATCCTGCCTGCTATCTTCTTTACTCCTAGGTGTCCTCCCACAATTGACTCATGAGCCAGCTTCATCATTTGAGTCCAGAATTTTGTTGGTATTATGACCTATTTAATTCTCCCAGTAGAACTGCCTTGATAGATCCAGTACAGCACTCCCTTCCAGTCCTGTATTCTGTAAGTTTCATTTCCTTTGGTTTTGTGCTCCACTTTTACCTGACACTGTCCCAAAGTTTCTGCAGTAAAGGATCTTTCTTCTATGCTTCTTTCTGTCTGGTTCTTCCAGATTTCTACTGCCTGGTATATTTCTAACCACCAAGTTATGGAAGGGTGTCTTCATACACATTGCCTCAAAGTCTCCCACATAGATACTAGACTGGTTCTCACTGCTGCATCCAGTGTCTCATAGGAACTTCACTTTCTCATCCCCGACATAGCCTTCTCCTACTGGCATGTTGTGGTTTGTTGGCACCTCCTGATGTTTGTCACATGCTCCAATCACTAATGGCACTGTTGATCCACTTGGTAAATTGAGCTGACCATCAGTCATTCAATGTTTGATCGTGGAAGTAGTACTTCTTTCTTGTGGTGAATTTGATAGGTAGTCTCTATTCTACTTCTCCTGGCAGCAGTATCCATGATGATAGTCACTCTTTTCTTGTTTCTTGCCAGCACCATCTTTGTAGGTAGCTCCAGCTGCTTTATGTTGATATATCTACTGTTGCTTGTTGGTGCTAGACTTGTACTCATTTGCAATGTGCCTTATTTTATAACAAGCATTGCATCTCTTTTCCCTTTTGTTTGTGAGCTTCTTGTCATCTTTGGTGGACTCGTGCTTCTGGTCAGCCACTGTTAGTTTGGATTTAGACTGGTAATTCTTGGACTTGCCAATTATACTACCATCATGGGTTTCCATATACTGTTCTGCCAGTTTGATAATCTTGTCCATGTTTTTTGGTGCTCTCTCCTTTAGGAACAATGATATGTCAATTGAGCACGTGATAATGAACTGTTCATGTATTAGTACATCTGTTAGTCCATCAAAACTATTTTCGCACTTGGCCATGTGAGTCCATCTTGTGAAGTAGCACCATAGACGTGCCACAAACTGAAATACAGTTTCTCCAGTGTCAGGTTTGACTTCTCTGAACTTCCAATGAAATCCTCCTTTGGTAAAATCAAGGCATTTCAACAAGGTTACTTTTAACTTGTCATAGTCTGTGGAACCTTCTGACGTCATGTCTGCATATACTTGTAGGCCTTTTCCTGTGAGAAGTGGGCTGAGATAGACTGCCCAGTTGCCTTTGTCCCAGTTCTGAGTTTGGGCAAATCTTTCATATATCTCAAGGAAAGCATTCATGTTGTCTTTCTGTTCATCAAATTTAGGCAGCTTGGGTTGGCTGGCCCTGACACCATTGTCATTTTTGGGTCCTCTCTCTTTCTGTTGGGTGAGCTTGGTGATCTCAATTTATTCTCTTATTCTCTTTATTTCCAGTCTCTCCTTTCTGTCGTTTTCTTTTTCTCAGTTTGTGTTCTTATTCTCTCTATTTCCAGTCTCTCCTTTCTCAATTTGTACTCTTATTCTTTCTTCCTCTCTTCTCTGCCTCTCCTCCTCTCTCTTTTGTTGACACTCTTTTCTCTCTAGGTCTTCTTATTGTTTAACAAACTCTCGTAGATCACCATCTTTGAGCCTAAGTCACTATATCTACCTATTAGAGTCAGTCAACATGGTTATGTAATGTATTTATGACCTCTACAATATTTCTGCCACCAATACAGCTGTGCATATATAGGTATATTTAAAACTGTTGTTTACATCTACTTCTACCCCCATTTACCACTGTAGATCCTGACTGGCTTGCCACTGTCAGGTTTTATGTATCGACTGGAATCTTTACAGTTGTGTCTGTGACTTGTTGGTGATAAATTTCAACTATAAACAGTCCATTTATTTTGTAATAATACATTAAAACAAATAAAATGCAAATACAAATATTCTTTACACTGTTGATTATCATAGTTGTATCCAGAGCTTTAAATAATGTCATCTTAATGTTCATCAGATTTGGGCAGCTTGGGTCGCCTTGCCCCGACACCGTTGTCATTCTTAGATCCTCCCAAGATCTGTTGGGTGAGTTTTGGTATCTCAATTTGTGCTCTTATTCTTTCTATTTCCAGTCTCTCCTCTCTCTCCTTTTCTTCTTTTAGTCTTTCTTCCTCTATTCTCTTTCCAGGTCTTGTTGGTGTTTAAGAGGCTCTTGTAGATCACCATCTTTTAACCCAAGTTGCTCATCTCTCTCTATCCATCAAAATCAGTCGACATGGTTATATAGCGTGATTGTTATAAGCATGTAACATAATAAATACATTATATTTGAAACAAAATACAAAGGCGAAAACTAACGAATGTTATGCAATCTTTCCAGTGATAATACATTTTTATTACATACAGTTCACAATAAAATACAATGGCAAAGATCTAATCAAGTAAGTTACAGGGAACTTGAAAGAGATATCAAAAAATTTACTGAATAAAAATGTGCTGACATTAGATTGCAGTATTATATCTCAGAAAATAACCTTGTATTAGATTTAGAAGTAGATGATCAGCTAAACTGATCAATATAATTGATTACCTATAAGCATGGTTATAATTATTGATATCTTATAAATAACTGATAAATGGAAATTGTGAATAAAGTGATTAACATCGTGTAAATATTCAACTAGCGTTTCCTATTTTTACTGTTTTCAATTATTATAGCTATACAGTAATTTAAATACAATTATTGTCATGTATTAAAATAATCAGCTAATCAAAATTTATGATTCCAATCATTTCAACTGTCCAGTAATCAAAATTAGTGTGTTCAATTATTACTATTTTCATGCATTCCAACTATCTAGTATCTGATTTTTCATTATTTTTGATTAATTCAAGTGTGTTTGGCTTAATTTATTAGTGCCATGACTCACAAAGATAATCAAGTAATCAAACTGAGGGTTTTTTAATTATTACTATCTTCAATCATTCCAACAGTGGCATAGGAACATACCATGAGTTTCTATCTTGTAGTATTAAATATTTATTCTGAATTTATGCTTTTTGAAACATATATACAAGTTCACCTTGTTTCCAGTTACAGTTGTTCCTTTTTCTTTCTCAAAGGAGGTAACACTTGTTGTCACTCAGGAGAATATTGCTTAATAAAACCCTTTATAAGAATGTATGTCAACAGTAACGACCTTCAATGATTTTTCAGGTGATATCTAGAGATTATAGCCTCACCTATGCTGTAATTGGAATGACGAGTCATGTGGGTGGAGCATGTCAGGCAGTGAAAATCTGAGGTATTCTTGAAACAGAGAAACTTTGAATTTGGCAATCTGTTCTTGAACATCATTGAAGATAGTATAGTAGAACTTAGTCATCAGTAGTCAGTCCAGTGATTCAGTGAAACCATCAGTCCAACATAAGTAAACTGCATATGCACACAAATTGTGTTTGTGTTTAGTGTATAATAAAATTTGTTCATTTTGTGTATCACTTTTTCTCCAGTCTCAGTTCTTCATTTAACAGTGACTCAGTTAGTACTACTCTGTAATGATATCCTGAGGGAATCTGGTGATGTTTATTAGACCTATAAGATAGGTTGAATGAAGATTCAGTTCACCTGAATATACCAAAGAACTATCCAAGTGATCAAAATATTGCCATTTTATTTGTTTCTTGTAAGTACTAAACAACACAATGAGTTATTTGTGCTCTGCCCACTGCAGATATCAAAACCTGATTTTTAGAATCTTTTTTTTAGCTTCCTCCTCAGAATGATTGATTAGTTGAATGTAATCGGTTAATGAGCCCAACAACTAATCAATTAGTAAATTCCACTAATTATCTAGCAATAAAATTTAGATTAAAATAACAATAATTATAAACAAAGGAAACAAGATAAAAAAAAGCAGTGATTAAGTTAGCATAATTTCAGAGCAGATCCAGGCAGATTTCTGAAAGGGAAAGGTCCATGAAGCATCCTTAGGGGTGTCTGGGGTAGCCTTCCCAAAAAATTTTGTCATAACAAATATAAATGAATGTTGGATGCATTTTAGACCTTCGTTCATACTTTTGGTTTTTATCTCCTCCACGTTTTATTTGTGTTTTAAAATTTTGGAGCACTCTGACAAAAAAGTGATCAGAACTCAAAGGATGATGAAGGACTTCCTAAATCCACTTCTGAAGTTCTCATCACTGTGTTTGTCAGGTTTTATAAGGCCAGATTCTTTACAGTAGGTGTCTGTGACTTGTTGGCGATAAATTTCAACTATAAGCAAACAGCAACACAATCTGCTTGTTTTAAAGTAGTATATCAAAAACAAATAAAATGTATATATATAAATGTTTGTTACACTGTTGGTTACCACAGTTGTATCCCGAGTTTTAAATAATTATATTTTTCATCAAAGTCCACACAGGCTCATTCAGTTACCTTAGAACACAACTGAAAAGACAAATTAGTCTTTCTTTTCTTCTCTGTTATTACAATACAGTCTGTGATAATTTCACTTTAGAAATTGCCTCTATACACTCTTTTTTTAAAACCTGACCTTACAACCTGAACTTTAAATTAATAGTTAATACTAGTGCATGAATTATCTCACATAAAGAGCATTAATGATATTAAGCATAAAGGTGCCTATCTAAGAACCAAGTAAAGATGTTAAAAACTTATAATGAGCAAAATTTCAAATATGATGTGGGGTTCATAACTTTTAATTCAATTCAAATGTTTTCTTCCACAAATTTTGAATTACAAATACGACAAATTATTTAGAACTGAGTATCAATTCATTAAAACCCAACCTAATTCAGATAAAGAAGTTTTTGGTTTTTAGTAACTATGATTATTCACCTTAAGTAGTTGTTCTCCTGTTGTTGTTGCTGTACAAGTTTCCACTGGGCTTCAGAATCAACTAGTTCATAGGTACTCCCAGATCTAAAGGATGTTAGCAACAATATTTAAATTTTTCATGCAAGAAAATTCAAATATAACAATAAGAATACATTCATCTTGTTTATAGTAAGGTTATTTCAATTTTAAAATTTATCTGAACAAGTGAAAACTGAGACCAGATAGTTTGCTACCTTTAACATTTCCATTGGAAAACTATGGCTTGGTATTTGATATTCTGAACTTTGGGGGAAAATGGCTCTGTAGACATGAATAACGATCATGCAAAATATTTCTGATAAAAAATCATATGTTAAGCAAATGAAGAGTATATAACATATTGTTGTACAGAAGTACAATGTAATATTGTTATAATCTCATTATTCTTCAATTATTGTTAAAATCATGTGTTGCCACTTCCATTGTTAAATCATAGAATGCCACAGTTCAAGTTTGCCATTACATTTCTGTAGTGTTAAGCCTACGAGAACATATTTTCACTTGGCTGATCAAAACTGTTGAAAAACATCTATTGTAAAAAGATGCTATATAAATATCTCTTAAATAAGTCAGGAGATAGTGAAAAGCCAAATAAATAATAGCATAAAAATTTAGAAAGACTGGTTTAGTAACTAAAGTAAGAACATAACTTATTGTCTTTGGCATAGTGGAACGTGGAGGAAGTAAACTTTGGCTAATTCATCTATATGTGAAATACCTAACAGAAGAGACACTTCAGCAATTTCCTTTCTGCATTTAATACTCAAGTAAAACTTGAGTTCAGAGATGATGTGATGTTTGAGCAGTTTCCATTTTTGAGTTATATACACAAATAGAATGAAACTTCAGCTAAAGCCTGTACTATTTGAAGCCCTATAGAATTAAAACATCAGGTAATTCCTGTATCATGTTAAAGAAGCAAAAGGGTAGCAAATTCTTGTGCTATGACTTAGTTCATTTAGTAATTGTAAATAAAGAGAATTTTTGTTTTAGTAATTCTAAATTTTTAAGTTTCTTTTCTTGACAAGTCTGTAAGTCATTTGTAAATCTCAAGTCTTTATACAACAGTAGATTAACATGAAAAGATAATATTTTTAAATGCTACACCATATAACACACAAGGTAAAGGTAAAAAAATTAAGATTAATTTTGTCTCATAACACACATAGTTTATCCAACTTCCAATAATATTATTTTTTTCTTTTCTGAAATTAGTGACTTTACTTTTGGAAGCAGATAATTTGATTATCTGTAAGTCGTAATTTAGGTTAATACACAAATGGCTCAGTATGCATGTCAAATATTTTTCATAATTTATACATTTACAAATAGCCTTTTTGTTTTAACTAACCCCAAATCAAGTTGATAATGATAATCATTAAACTTGTAAAGGCAATAGTGTACATCTCATTAAATTTAATGAAATACAGTATTAAATTCTAATGAATTTCAGATAAATATATACTTCAAAACTCACTTGTGTTTTCGGTGCTTTTTGTGCTTTCTCTGGCCTTCTGATTCACTGCCACTGCATGCATCTTTATATTGTGAACTGTGAAAATAAAATAATTTAATTACATTGAAATATTGCTATTATATACATATGAATGGAAGATATAATCACATGGCAGTAATCATGTGTAAAAATAGTTGAAAAACAAATATATAATTATATAGCACACATTACGATAGAAAATTTGACCCTTTATCTTTGTTTCTTCTGATAACATTCCATTCTCTACTTACTTTTAAAATACAAAAATGTATAAAAGCAATTATAATATGTTCAAACTGATGCAGAAGATCTGGAAATTTTTAAAATTTATGAATCTTTAGTTACACATTATCAGATTTGTTACATAAATTTAGCAATAAGCCAGAAATTTTGTAATACTGAATCAGCTACTGAGGAAAATGATAGGTAGATATTATGATACTTTTTCCAGTGTAAAACTGTATTATGCAGAGTTAATGAGTTTTCATAATAAACCTTTGATTCTTAAATTTAAAACAAAGTGAGATACACTAATACATTATCATTTCTTACCAATGTTTTCTGCTACTGATACTATTTCTTGATGACTTTGAGGTTTTAGACCCTCTGGAAGATTTCGACACCTCACTATCATTATCAGAACTTTTCCTGCTGTGGTGGTGCCTTTAAATTATAAATGTATGGTTACACAAGTTAGTACATTATGACTACTTCAGCTGGTAAAATATTAAATAACTATATAAATTCCTTGCTAGTGCCACAAATATACTATTATGTTTCACTCTAAAACTTCAGTGATCATTTAGTGATTGAAAATATTGTCAAAAACAAATAAAAGTTAGTTCACCGTCTTCTCCTGGAATCACAACTGCTGTCACTCTCCATTGAGGTTGAGTGTTGATGGATACGAAAGTGTGATGAGGAATGTCCACTAGAACTTTTTACTGACCGAGGAGAAGGGTTGGTTGAATTTGAATAGAGACCCCTGTCAATTGCACAACTTGAATTATATTAAATTGATTATTTTTCATATTAGTACAAATAGTACATATTCTTTAACTAAAGAGTTTAATATCAAGAAATAATGACTTAGAATAATGCCATTTTCTCCTAATGAAGTATATTAGAAAGGATTATAACGAATGTGCAAACATAATCTCCATAGTCAATGTAATTAAATGAGTATTTGTATTTATGGCAAAGCTACTAAAGCTATCAACTGCCTTCCATAGTTTTCAACTACTGATCAAAGGGGAAAGCAGTGAATCAGCAGCAGTTACCACTCACCATTTACACTAATGCATTTACTGTCACACCTATAAGCCACCCACAGTTTAAAGTGCAGAGAATATTTTGTGGAATCTCAAGGATTCAAACCCATTTTGCCAGCTCTCAAATTCAGAGCTCTGCCATAGGTCAACCTTCACCCAAAGGAAATGAGAGTCGAGTACCTTTCATATTTCAATAAGTATATAGCTTATATGTCGCATAATTATAACTTTTTGATAAAACAAAATTCACTAAAATGACTTAATTATAAAGTAAAATATTTATCATTATGGTGAAAACGATTTTTATGCTACCCATGGTGAAATCGCTAATAGTTAAATTATATACCAACACAGAAACCAATACATAAGCAAATATATTTTAAGAACAAAGTAATTTACATAAATATTTTCATATAATAATTTTGACTACAATTTACCCTCTTAAGTTTATCAGTTTAATTTCTAAAACAACAAAAAATCTTTTTACTATAAATAATCCATTGTGGAAATTAATACCTATTACAGGTCATACAACATATAATTCAAGGACAACAATGGACCTGCTGATCCATTTAGGCTGTCCCATCCACTAAACTTTAAACTTAAAATAAAACACTCAAAGCCAGCACTCCTTATCAATCAAATATTTATCAAGCTTTCCCTTAAACTTCCTTAAATTTACTGCATCCACCACATCTGAAGACAACCAATTCCAAAGACCAACCACACCGTACACTTCTGTACAGCCATGATAATCTATAGTACTTTTGTAAGCTATGCTTTTAATAATTTAATTCAAATTCTTTGTATTTTTTTAGTATGACATGATGATGATGTCTAGATTTGGTATCTTGTCTCTAATCTTTCGATGGTTTGAAGAAAGTACTGTAATATGTAAAAACATGAGTAAAATAGATAGAGTTAATTCAGTGAGCCAGATAGTCAATGACATGATTATTTAGTTAGTGAATCTGTTATGGTGTTATGATTGTTTACTCAGTCAGCCAGTTTTGAGTTCTATCAGAGATACAACATAAAATGTAACAAATGACTGTTTAGTTTTATTTACAAATTAGGCATATCTATGAATGTAGTTTGCATGTAGATCTTTCATGTTGCAGTCAAAGAAATAAATAACTTTTTACATTGTTAATGGAGTGGAACTATATTTTTAATGAATAATCACAATTAATCTGCCTAATTCTCACACATTTTAGTTGCATCATAGTAAGCCAATTATAAAATCAATACCCCTCCACTCATATCACTAAAAATCTCATAAAAAATTTCACTTCTTTTGTTATTTCCAAGTTCACTCCTGATACAAGAATATCTAACTTCCAAAAGCCCTAGTTAAAGTAATTAGGCTCATTAAATGTGACAATCCATCAGGGTCCTAAACACTAATAACCTTAAAAAAATGTACTTGATCATGAGGTAATTAAAGAAAGTACTCTGTTATATAAAAGTTAAAACTTGTTCATTGTTATATATACAGAGTGTAATATTTATGGTTACAATGTTTCACTAAATTAACTTTGCATCATCAAATACAACAACTACAAGGAGTAAACTCTTTATCAAGATAAAATGTTGTAATCGTAAATATCATACTATGTATATCCAACAATAAACAAGTTTTATGTACTCAATGTTTTTTTGTAATAATAACATTAAATCTTATACAATATAGTTGAATGTTTCTCGTCTAATAACTTTGTATAGTTAGTAAAGTCAACAATTGATGTGTGGTAGGCAGTTTGCATATTGCATTGCTTTCATGGAAAATTATTTTTGTTTTGCAAAATTTAAATATAATTATCTAAATCTAAGTTTCTCCTAAACAACATCACCATACTAAACAAGAGTTTATGATATTCACATTTCTTACAGCTAGCCTTGATATTATTGTAGTCTTATTAACACCAAACTTTTACAGAATTGATGGCATAGTATTTTGGGAGTCCTGAGAGAATTTATGAAGATGTATAATGCTAAATAGAAGGATTATTTTAAACTTTACTGTATCTTTTACAGACATAATAATTACATTAGTTTCAATATAGAGTATGCTATATTGTTACATATAGTACAGTTCAACTGGGAAAATGAAAACTGCCAATTAAGTCATAATATCTGAAATGTTCCTTAGATTGCATGGATATTGTGATCTTGTACTTATCTATTAAGTAATTGTAGCATCAAAAAAATATTTATAAAAGCTAGTAATTTTTCCATGATATTTGTATTTTCTTTTATCATCTTTTTTTTATGCTTTCTTTTAAACTATATATAAATTCATGTGCCTCACTGTATTGCTTATTTCAATTGTTTATTTTGTTTAAGTATTTTCTATCATTTGAGAACTGACAGTGTGTTGTCAACAAGAAGATTTCTTGTTTTTGTATCATGTAATTTAATATTTATGTTTCTTTGCCATAATTTGAGTAGAGTACAATGTAAAATTTTTTTTAGAGAATGAAAAATTGGAAGAACTGCACTAATTTGCCCACAGAGACTCCTATAACTGTACTAAACAGCATAAAAACACTACTTACCCAGATATTTCAGAAAGTAAATTAACTAAGCAATGAGGGTATCTCAGGAGTATTGTTTTTGAGCTGGAACTGATATCTTCTTAACCATGAGCACCATCTGGTTGACACAGTTTCTTGTGATATCGTCTGCTGGGGATACGAGCTACCGTTGGTTGTGGTCTATTTAGTTCTAGGTCTACTTGCATCTGCTTTTGTGTTCTCTCACTATGAAAGATTTATGAAGGATTTATAGATGCTGCAGAGATTTTAGGTTAGAGGTTTATGTAAATTTAATTATTAATCATGGTTAAAATATTACCCAGAAAAATCCTTTTCATTTTGGCTATGTTTCATGCAACTGCCCTCTGTTACTACTTTGGTTTGTTGAAGGTCAGTTGCCTGGAAAATAACCAAGGTAACAAATATTCTTCCAAGTTCCAGGTAAGATGTTTAAGAAATTTCAAGTTAACTGGTACTCTAAGGCCAGTACCTTATAAACTGAGCTCAAGCCTCAAGCTGAATGCTCCTATTTTTAGCATTACAAGAAACAATCAATATTTATGTAAAATACCATGGACCCATTAATAATTACATAAACATACATGATTTAAAGCTTTTAACAGTAGTTACAGTACCATACTGTACTCAATCATAAAGTGCAGTGTTTTTATTAGTAAAATCATAGTAAATATAAACAAAAAATATTAGTTTGGGAGTATAACTGTACAATGTAATCTATTTAGAAACCTTCTGACATTTGTCCATCATAATATAAATTGATAAAATATAAGTATTTAACTAAATCCTGAATTAAATACTAAAGCTAATTATGTTACACAAAATGTATTATTAATTTTTTATAGTTTTAATGTTATTAATATTTTGAAGAAAACTCAAAAGAGGTTGAAAGTATAAAATAATAAATGCCTAATCTAGAATTTCTTCATCATCATAAATGTTTTTTCATGATGTTATAGAAAAATACCTGAATCGAAATCTTGAATTTAAACCAAACACTTTCCTTGAATTTCCTGAGACTTCTCGAACTTGAGTTAATCTGATAATTAAAAAAATACAAAAACATTAAATTTTTCAAAAAGAAAACACATCATTAGGTACCTAATTCATTTTCCCCCTTAATTATACCATATAATTGAATTAAAGACAGCTACTGTTTACTAAATGTTGATGGTTCCCTACACTTTTCTTCAGAATTATACTTGATATACAAAGTTAAACAAGATAACTGAGATTCTTATCGTAATCACTCTTTTATTACAAAACTCAACTATACTTTTAAATCCCTTTATTTCTTGTGAATATTAAGAATAACAAGAAAATATTTTGGTACACTATCAGTTCATTATGAGCGGTCTTTAAGCATAATATACAAACCACAAACCATGTATACCTGTATTATATGCACATCATATTGCCTTTTATATGAAGCATTTTGATCAACAGAAAATGAAAAAAATTGTATATGGAAATGGATTATTGTGGTTCTCATGTATTTTATATATATTGAGTTTTGATTATTATATTCATATAACACCTGTATTTATTGTAACATTCTATATGTATAAATATGAGCATATGTATTGTATTTTACAGATAACCATAAAAAAAGGAATGGTAAGAAAAGATATTGAAATTTTTAGCAATGTTTCTTATCCAGTTCAGATGTTAGGAACACAGTTTCATGAACAATATATAAAATGTAGAAACTAGTTCACCATTTTAGTAAGTGTACTGTAGGTAAAACATAACAGATGTTTCTTTCTGTTTTATCGGAGAGAGATGAACATTTATTATCACTAAAATTTCTATAACTTTCTTGTACTTACACATGTTGTCCTATATGCACATCATGTGCAGATAATTGACTTTGGACTATGTTGGTCTTATTCTTATGTTAGTCACACAATCTCACGGGTCATTATCCCTTAGTATATCTGGATATTCCCACAGAAGATGTTATTGGAGAATTCCTTGGGCTTGTATTAATGAGTTTTTTAATTACATCAGTCATGAACAGTTTTAGAAATACCTGAAAGAATCTGTCTTTCCTAGTTTTGCTAGCATGAGTTAATAGGTGTTGTGGATGACCAATGCACTCTATGATATTTGATCATATTTACACAAATACTTAATAACGACTGACTCTGTCAGGATTATCTTCAACTCATAAAATTAAGAGAAAGAAGTGCTATCATCTTTCATCTCTGCATACATGTCCACTGACTGAGTTTTTACTGTTGTCATATTTTGTGCCTATTGAATAAAAAACGTGTTTTAGTTCATTGTGAAACTTTGTGTCCAGTTATTTCTTTTAGTTCAGTCAGGTCAGAATTCAGTTTAATTCCATAATAGTTTTATTTCTAAACTAGGATGACCAGATTTTTAGAATTTAAAAGTAGTTCCTTCTTTTTTAGGAAAAAATGATAAAGAATCAGTTGTGCAAATAATAAGTATTACTAAGTGAAAAGGATATACTATATTATTGTTTCTAAAGAGTGAACTTTTTTAAGCAACTTGTTATTGCCTTGGAGTTTGTTGTAAAATTTGAGAAGTGTCAGAAATATCAGAAGTGTGATTGATGTAAAATTTTTTTATTCTACATTTAAAAATAATGTGTGCACAGTTTGTGTAAATTTTCACACACAACCACTTGTGAAATAACTAAATTCTGTCTACTAATTTCTTTACGCTCTATTGTAGTGTGTAGTGGTAGCAAATATGTTGGAGCATATTTTCAAAACTGCTTTTGTATGCATGCCTGTTTATCAGTGCATAATTGTCAGCCCTTACAGATAATCCAAGAAAGGTTCTTTGTGGAAAGTAAATTCTTTTCAATTCATTTACAATTATTAAATTTTACTCAATAAAAATTTATTATCAACCTAATAAATTTCCTATTTTGTTATCTTGTATAGAAATCTGATTTAAATAGAAAGCCTGCAACAGCTCCTTCTTTTAGAATTAAAATATTTTACCAAACACACAAAAGTATTGCCAATTTTGTCCATAAATGTATATAGCTTGTGCAGATGATGAACAGAGGAGGAAGGGATAACAAAAAGAACAGATAGGAATAATAATGAATAACATATGGTTATTGCTATAGGAGATTCTTTAGTAGGACACGTGGATAGGATAATCTATATGTTATATAGGAAGAATTACATTATGCTATCCAGGTGAAAAGGTGGATAAGATAGCTGACAGAACAAGTGATATATTAAAGGGTGCTAACAGTGTTGGAGTCTTTTTAATATGTATAAAGGCTAATGATTTAGGGTAGGTTAGGTCAGAGAAGCTTATTCTTATGTACAAGGTACTATTATAGGCGTTTAAAGAAAAGGTCCATAATAACTTAATAATGTTAGGGTGTCAGGTTTTGTATGGGCCAGATTCTTTACAACAGGTGTCTGTGACTTGATGGCAATAAATTTCAACAATAAACAAACAGCACACAGTCCACTTGTTTTAAAACAATATATTAAAACAAGTCAATGGTACTATGATCTGTTTAATTTTCCCAGTACAGTTGCCAGCACTCCCTTCCAGTCCACTAATCTTGGTCTTGTGCTTGATTTTCTCCCAGGTATTGTTCCAAAATTTCTGCAGTGAAGGGTCTTTCTTCTGTGCTTTTTTCAGTTCCCATAGATCTACATTTGGGATGCCACTTTTTAAGACTTGCAGGGGCTTGGTGTCTTGCTTGCTTTTGTTTTCTTGAGCTCTTGTGGTGACTGCACATGCCTCATCAGTCTCTTTTCTGTTTGGTTCCTCCAAACTTCTACTGTCTGATATACTGCCAATCACCAAGACATAAATGGGTGCCTTCATACACATGGCCTCAAAGTCTCCCATGTAGTGTGAAGTGTTTACCTTTATTCTTGCTATGGGAAACTTTCTCATTGTCCCATCAATCAGCTCACACAGATGTACCTTGCCCATCATTTAGTCATTAGATACTAGACTTGTTCTCACTGCTGCATCCAGTGCCTCATAGGACCTTCACTTTCTTGTCCCCGACATAGCCTTCACCTACTGGCATGTTGTGGTTTCTTGGCACCTCCTGATGTTTGTCACATGCTCAAATCACTAATGGCACTGTTGATCCATTTGCTAACTTGAGCTGACCATCAGCAGGCACAGATTTAATCATGAAAATAGCTCTTCCTTCTTGTGGTGAAGTTGACGAGTTGTCTGTATTCTGTTTCTTCGTGCAGCAGCATCCATGGTGACAGTCACTCTTTTGTAGTTTCTTGCCAGCACCATATTTATAGGTAGCTTCACATTTTGTTGAGATTTCTGCTGTTCCTCGATGGTTATAGACTTGCATTCACTTCCAATGTGCCCCATTTTATAACAAGCATTGCATCTCTTTTCCCTTTTGTTTGTGAGCTTCTTGTCATCTTTGGTGGACTCGTGCTTCTGGTCAGCCACTGTTAGTTTGGATTTAGACTGGTAATTCTTGGACTTGCCAATTATACTACCATCATGGGTTTCCATATACTGTTCTGCCAGTTTGATAATCTTGTCCATGTTTTTTGGTGCTCTCTCCTTTAGGAACAATGATATGTCAATTGAGCACGTGATAATGAACTGTTCATGTATTAGTACATCTGCTAGTCCGTCAAAACTATTTTCGCACTTGGCCATGTGAGTCCATCTTGTAAAGTAGTACCATAGACGTGCCACAAACTGAAATACAGTTTCTCCAGTGTCAGGTTGGACTTCTCTGAACTTCCAATGAAATCCTCCTTTGGTAAAATCAAGGCATTTCAACAAGGCTACTTTTAACTTGTCATAGTCTGTGGAACCTTCTGACATCATGTCTGCATATATTTGTAGGCCTTTTCCTGTGTGAAGTGGGCTGAGACAGACTGCCCAGTTGCCTTTGTCCCAATTCTGAGTTTGGGCATATCTTTCATATCTTTCCAGGAAAGCACCCATGTTGTCTTTCTGTTCATCAAATTTAGGCAGCTTGGGTTGGCTGGCCCTGACACCATTGTCATTTTTGGGTCCTCTCTCTTTCTGTTGGGTGAGCTTGGTGATCTCAATTTATTCTCTTATTCTACTTATTTCCAGTCTCTCCTTTCTGTCTTTTTCTTCTTTCTCAGTTTGTGTTCTTATTCTCTCTATTTCGAGTCTGTCTTTTCTCTCCCTTTGTTCTTTAGCTGTTCTCTTATTCTCTCTATTTCCAGTCTCTCCTTTCTCAATTTGTACTCTTATTCTTTCTTCCTCTCTCTTTTGTTGACACTCTTTTCTCTCTAGGTCTTCTTATTGTTTAACAAACTCTTGTAGATCACCATCGTTGAGCCTAAGTCACTATATCTACCTATCAGAGTCAGTCAACATGGTTACGTAATGTATTTGTGACCTCTACAATATTTCTGCCACCAATACAGCTGTGCATAAATAGGTATATTTGAAACTGTTGTTTACGTCTACTTCTACCACCATTTACCACTGTCAGGTTTTATGTATCAACTGGAATCTTTACAGTTTGTGTCTGTGACTTGTTAGTGATAAATTTCAACTATAAACAGTCCATTTATTTTATAATAATATATTAAAACAAATAAAATGCATATACAAATGTTCTTTACACTGTTGATTATCATAGTTGTATCCAGAGCTTTAAATAATTGTTTCTTTTTTTGTCAAAGTCCACACGGGCTTGTTCAATTACTTCAGAACACAATGTGACAAGACGATTTATTCTTCCTGCTCTGTTATTACAATACAGTCTGTGATAATTTCACTTTAAAATCACCATATTATCTGTTGGTTACCACAGTTGTATCCAGATCTTTTGATAATTGTCTCTTTTTCATCAAAGTCCATAGAGGCTTGTTCAATTACTTTAGAACACTTTAACAAGATGAATTATTCTTCTCTACTCTGTTACTACAAAATATTCTGTGATAATTTCATTTTAAAAATAGCCACTATATGCTCTTTATGGCTAAACTCACAATCATTCAGACTAGATCTAACTCTCCAACTAAATTTTCTACACATATTTATATCCCAACACAAGTCCTGAACGTTCTACACACTACTAAATATGATGCAATAATACTCAATTAAAACAACAAGAAAAACTCAGAAGTTTCTAGTAATATGATGCAATAATACAACAATCACCAATACATAACTATACATAACAACCCTGCGAAAGTCTATCACTTGCAGTATATAAACTATCTAAATCATAATGCTCACATTAAACTTAAATTGAAACAGTCATGTATATTTAACACAAGGATACTGTCAAGACATAATTGTGGGGATGAAATTATAATTAAGCCAATAGGGTTGAATGCTAAGCTTATGGGATCACTTCAATGTGAAAACAGAGATTTTTGAAATGGTGGTTTAAATATAAATAGGGTAGGGATTGGCTTATTTGCAAGGGCTATTAACTCAGCTCTAAGTTAGCTTTATACTAGGACTAGACAGTAAAGATAAAAACATAACATCCAGAGAGAGGGATATATATATATAACATAGGAACAATATACAAAAGCAGTTTTAATGGTAGGCTAAAATGTTATTATTGTAACGATAGAACTATAAGAAATAAAATGAATGACTTTCAAGCACTGGTCAAAACAGAAAATTCTGATATAATGTCAATAACTGAAACCTGGTTAACTGTAGACAGTTTTGATCATAGGAATTTCTTTGAAATACAGGGTTATAGGTTCTTTAATAGGGATAGAGTACTAAAAAGATGGAGAGGAGTGGATTTATATGTAAAATGTGAGTTATATCCTGTTCAGTTGAGGATATCAATGCTAATAGCTTTTGTTAGTGGTTATTAGGGGAGAAAGCTGTTAGTTGGAATTACAGACAGGTAGATGAAACTGGTGAGAAACTCTAAAGTGAGATACAGAATTCTACTGTTATAATTATAACTATAACTATGGTTATAATTATGGGAAATATAAATTTTAAGCATATAGAATGGAAAATGCTAGAGTCAAATCATGAGGGAAACAGGTTTTAGAAATTGTTCAGGATGGTTTTCTTCAATAAATGATTAGGAAATCTACTAAGAAGAATGCTACTTTAGATTTATTGTTAAATGGTTAATAGGGTGAAGACTAAGGAACATGTGGGTGTAAGTGATCATTGTTCAATTAGATTTGATGTTTTAACATCAAGTAACATTTTGGGACAACATGGTACCTATTGGTCCATCTCGGTTGTTCTATCCTCTAAACAAACCTAAGATTATTAATAACAAATTTAATAACACATCTTATTATCATTCACATACTTATCAAGCTTTCTCTTAAACTCACTTAAGTTTACTGCCTCCACAACATCCAAAGGCAACCCATTCCAAAGACCAACCACTCCATTAGAAAATATAACTGTCTTAGCTGAAGATGATTCCCACCCTGCCAAAATTTATATTTGTGTCCCTTAGTCCTACTGTTCTCACTGTTAAGTATGAAAAAATATGATGCATCAACACTATCAATTTCCTGAACAATCTTAAATTCCTCACTCAGATTCCATCAACTCTTCTTTTTTCAAGAGAAAACAATTTGAGAGATTTCAGCCTCTCCTCGTATGACAACCCATCCATCCCAGGCACAATTCTAGTAACCCTTCTCTGAACTCTTTCCAACAATTCAATGTCCTTCCTAAGGAAAGAAGCTCAAGACTGAGTACAGTACTCCAAATGTGGCTTAACCAGTGACCTATAAAGTGAAATTATAACCTCTTTAGACTTGTATTCAATATTTCTGTAGGTACAACCTAAGATCCTACTTGCCACACCACTAGCAACAGCACACTGTTTGGATGGCTTTAGAGACTGATCAACTATTACACCAAGATCCCCTTTCTTTCATAACATTGTTAAAGTTATTCCCATCCAAATTATACTTATAATTGAAATTATGATAACCCACATGCGTTACTTTGCATTTGTTGTAATTAAAACCCATTTACCATTTATTTGCCCAACTCATTAAATGATCTAACTCCTTTTGTAAATCAGGAGCATCCACTTCACAGATAGCAACACCCAAGACCAATAGATCATTTAAATTAACTGATGACATTAAAGTTTCGGATGTTGCTGGCTGTGAGGAGGATGCTGCTGTTTTACAAAGGGATTACTTGGTGAGTAGAGCAAATAATTATAATAAATGCATATAAGATATCAAAATTTGAATTATGAGTATAATTTGTTGGGAATAACCTTAAGAGTGTTATGGAAGAAAAACAACTTGGTGTTCTGGTCCATCAGTCTCTTAAACCATTCAAGCAATGTTCTTTTGTTAGTGGCAGGGCAAATAGGATTTTAGGTTGTACTTACAGAAATATTGAATACATAGCTAAAGAGGTTATAATCTTATTGTTTAGGTCATTAGTTAGGCTACATTTGGAGAACTGGGCTTAATCTTGGGCTTATTTCCTCAGAAAAGAGATTTAATTGTTGGAAACGTCGTCATATGAGTATAGCTTATGATCTCTGAATTTGTTTTCTCATGAAGAAGAGTTAGAGTTAGAAGCGATGTAATTGAGGTGTTTAAGATTGTTAAGGGAATTGATGGTGTTGATGCCTCATCATTTTTTCATTTTTAATAGTGCGAATGGTAAGACTAGGGGACACAAATATAAATTTTAGCAGAGTAGGAGTAATTTTCAGCTCAGACTGCTTGATTTTTCTAACAGGGTGGTTGGCCTATGGAATGGATTGCCTTCAGGTACATGCAGTTAATTTAAGTGAATTTAAGAAAAATGAATATTTGAATAAGGATGGCTTAGATGGACCAAAAGCTCCCTTGTTGTCCTTTAATGTTATGGGTTTAAAGTTGTATTTACTACACTGAATTTTCTTGATGAAGGAAGCACTTTTGGAGAAGTAACTTATCCATAAAAATTGAACTCCAAATACTGAATATATTATTTGCAGTCATTAATACCACACATTGAAGGATTACCTGAAGAAAGCATGATGCTCAACACAACACTTCCAGAGATGCTTACAAGCCTTTTTACTGGGAAGTTCAAATCCGTAAGTGCTCTCACCAGTCTTTAAATAAAAAGTAATTGGAAATAATTTCATCTACATTATATTTACTTAGTTTCTTATACACGAACACTGAAATAAAACATTTGTTATGTTAATTATTTTTATGTAGTTTAAACATAATTTAAAACAACTGTACAAAACGACTTTAAGGATAAGTAATATAATTTATAAATATCTCAGAAAATTTGAATTAAGTAAACAGCAGTTTGAAAATATAGATATAAGTGATATATATATATATTGGTGTACTTTGTTGACAAATTTTCTTGTAGGCAGATTTTGTTAAACAAGACCGATGTCTGTAGGTTTACTTTTTTCTTAGAATATATATATATATGTTAATCTAATTATATATGTACATATACAGCTCTGGTTGAAGAAACATTTTATGTAAACATTTTAGTTCTCAAACTTTTCTTGTATCTTTAATGGTCAAATTAAAACAGACTTCTGTAAATAGTGTAGCACTGACCTGAGTAGAGAACCATTCATTATGTGAATTAACAACAACAGTAAACTCCAGAAAAAACTTAATTTTACCTACAACTGACATTTCAATTTATTCCTTCGACAGAGTCTAGTGTATACTGTTAACAGACACTAGACTGCAAAGGAGGCATAAACTGAAAGGAGGTTTCGAGTAAAGTTTACACAGAATTTTATGCCATCTTTTAGTTTGTATAGCTAAAACCCTATCTCATTTATCTTAAGTATCATTATCCTTTTCATTGTAAAACAGAAATGAGGATTTAAGTTACAAATATTTCTATCTTCTGATGCAGGCATCGGTTGGTACATAATGATAATATATATATATATTACACACTGGACTGGTATAGCCTGGTACTCAACTTAGAGTCTGAGAGCTGGGGTTTGAATCCCATCACCAAACATATTTGCCATTTCAGTCATGGGAGGATTATTATGTGACAGTCAATCCCACTATTCTCTGGTAAAGAGAACCCCAAGAGTTGGCGGTGGAAGTTGTTGACTAGCTGCCTTCCCTCTAGTCTATCATTTCTAATTTAGGTACAACTAGGGCAGATAACCCTCAAGTAGCTTAAATTTGTGTCAAATTCAGAAAACAGACAAAATCATTACATACATACCTTCTATTACTAATAACTTAAAAGAATTCTACTTACATCTCCAGTCATTTAGTGTAAGTTTAAACTAAAGTGTATAATGTATCTCAGCTGTCAACTGCTTTGAACAAGGTGGTTATTGTTGATTGGCTTGTGACATAATGTTATGTTATTTATTGTACACATGTGACTCCAAGGCAGTTATCATTGATTGGCTTGTAATATAATAGTATGTTAATTATTCTACATTTGTGACACCAAGTTGGTTATTGTTGACTGGCTCATGGCATTGTGTTTTGTTAGTGACGGTAAATATGTGGCATAGATGTATGTTAAGCTGCAGTATATAAACAGTTAACTGCCAAGTTAAAAGCGAAAATCAGTTGTGTTTCGTAACTATCGCTTTTACAGGCATTACCATGTAGATGAATGTTTGGATTCGCCGCTAAACATCTGAAAGTCTCACTTGCTTTGTAGTTATGAATTGTACTGTTTTTAATTTATTTTTTCAATTTACATGTTACAGTCGTCCCTTATGACCAGAATTTTCTTGAAAGTTTCGGAAACCATTTAAACAGTATAAACACACGAGTAGATTATGTATTAATTTAGTGAGTCTATTTCAAAAGATGATTGATTACAGAGTTAGCAGGCTTGGGATACTGTTAGTTCGGTTTTGTAAAGGTATTTCTACATGGGAAACAGAGATACGAGAAAGTGCTATGCAGGAAATAATTAGAATAAGGGAATTGTTGTATTATATATATCAGGGAGACAAACGTGCAAATACAAAGAAAACGATACCCCTAAAAGCTTTAACCCAATTAATAATAATTATTGTGGAACGTGCAAGGAAAACATATACATTTATATGCGACACTTCAAGTAAACAGTTTGTTTGTTTTGAATTTCGCGCAAAGCTACACGAGGGCTATCAGCGCTAGCCATCCCTAATTTAGCAGTGTAAGACTAGAGGGAAGGCATCTAGTCATCACCACCCACCGCCAACTCTTGGGCTACTCTTTTGCCAACGAATAGTGGGATTGACCGTTACATTATATCGTCCTCAGTTGAGAGCCATAACAATTACCAGATATTAGTGGCCAACTTATTAAACAGATTTACAGTGTCACATAAGAAAGAAGTTTTTAAAGCAAAGTTTAGAAGTAGAGGCAAGAAGAAAAGACGAGGTCTTAGCAAAGTTTATGGAAGATGCGGAATGAACTGGCTACTTATCCAGACGCTCTAGATGAAATGATGGATTTGTTAGCCGTGCGACCAATTCAGGTACCTTAGCACTCAGCAGTTTTACACAGAGTATGTAGATAGACTAAGAAACACATTACCCAAAAAAAACTAAAACCACCTAATGACAAGACAAAAAGTTGATATGATGTTAATGCTGATAAAAGTGGATTTCAACAGTCATGACACAAGAGAAGATTATCTCTTAAGTTAAGTAGATGCTGAGAAGAATTCTATACTGTGGTCACCAAATCAATGATTCAGTTTATAGAGTACAAAATAATTTGTTTGTTTGTGGTTAAGCACAAAGTTACATAATGGGCTATCTGTGCTCTGCCCACCACGGGTATCGAAACCCGGTTTCTAGTGTTGTAAGTATAGAGAAATAGGCAGTTCATGCCATAGATCATCCACCATGAAACTCTTGTAGTACACTGATGAGTGAACAGCCAACAGATTAACTTAAAAGAAGCCTTCACCAAAAATAAACCAATCTGAAGAAGAGCCTATGGTTCTTGTCAAGACCACTTCCAGAAAATTACCAGGGATGGAGACATTAGTGGATTCCTTCGACCACCTACCTGAAGAGAACTCTCAGTGGCAAGAAAGCAAAAGCTGATAAAGTACCATAAGCCTCAGAAGAGAAAACCATCAGAAAAAATTAGGTGACTGGAAAGTAGAGGGACAATAAAAGGGTAAGGAAATATTTTGTTTTATTAATTAAGATTTTGATTCCAGTTTCTTTCACACATTTATTTAATGACTAATTTTTACATATGTAGGTATTAATGTTGTTAATTCTCAAGAGTTAATTTATTATTAATTGTTGAAGTTTAGATTCAAAATATCATTATTTTTTTTGTGTAAAAGGATTGTTCAAGAAACTTCATAATCCAGAGGTGAGGGTGGTTGTGCTTTCTAATTTAAATGCTTGTATTATTTCTTGTCTAGAGGAGTTTTACGTCACGTGCTTGGCGTTGCTTAATGAGTTGAGCCTTCTTGAAACTTTAGGAAACAGTTACAGCAGTATAAAAACGTGAGTTACGCAAGTGTAGATTATTGAATTATTTCTTGAACCCGCACAGTAGATGATTTATTGCTGAATTAACGAGTTTGCTAACAATTTGTTTGTTAGTTGAGTTCAGTGATTATTGAGTTTGTGTTTATGCGATGAAAATAGAGAAAACGTCGCAGGTACTAGAGAAGATAGAAATAAGTGAAACTGTTGTATTAGCGTCTACTGACAGTTAAGGGCTATCAACGAACGCTAATTTGTAGAAGACGAAGTTAAAGAAATAAAACACTATCATTACACAGGTCTGCGAATTAAAACTTCATAAAAGTTGTTTTAGTTTTTATGACGGATTTTCCATAATTCAGCTACGCAGATTCCGAAAATAATTTTCATTCTTTTATTTTATTTTACAAATCGGGAAGAAAAAAACTCTTACTTACTTCAGATTTACAAAACAATATAACAGAATATGATTGGGTCATTAACGTAACCTCTTGTTGCCATAGTGACGAATAAATAATATTGAAAAGCAATAAATAATGTCAAAGTGCACGCACAAACAAATACAATCGAGAAATGATATGTCATGCAGCCTGTTACCCGTTTATATGCTATCGATGTGTTTCTTGTTGGTTCTAGAACGATCGGCAAGACTCCCTATAGCCAGTGGTTGTTAATATTAAAAGCATAACAAAATGTGGTTTCAATGAAAATAATTCATTAATCTAAAAGTACATATGACGTTTTGTGAAAAATCTGTACGTGATGGGGAAAAATGAATATCATTTTCGAATTCAGTGTAGATTCAGATTACTGTAAAACATGTAAAAATTTTGAGACAATAAAACCATCGCAGGCCCGTGTTATCATTAAGTGGACTGGATTTTGCATTCTTATTTTTACAGAATAGTACAAAAAAAAACGATAGAAACTTTACACCAGAATTCACAATACAACCTATACAACAAAATACAATAAGATACACTTACATTTTTGTCTCTGACTCTTAGCATGAAGTATTTTCCCTTAAAATAAACTTTTGTTATTCTAGGCCTATGAAGAGACATGAAGAAATATAATCAGCATTATATGCTACAAACAAATGTTAAATAACTACAAATTATTTGAAATTACAGTGATTATTATCTATTGTATGTTGACTAATTTGTGCTAAAAGTACTGGTATCACAGATGGAAAATGGAGTTTAATTACAATATAAGTACCAATTTTTAACCGAATTTCTTAGAATACGTAAACGGTTTAAGTATATAAGTAAAAGACAGAAGAGTAGTTGCATGAATACATAATAAATTGAAGCCAGTGACAGAAAATGGCAACAAAAACATGAAACTAATGTTTGTTATACTATATACATTAATATAAGTTCGAAATTGAAGCAAAATTTAGACAGGTATATTTTTTGTTGACCTTAGAATAATTATAAAATGTACATACGTAAGGTTGTCTTGAAACTACGTCATAAGTTGACAGTAACTGTGTGTAGAAAAAGAAAAAAAAATCAAGCTTAATATCTACCTAAGTAAGTGAACTTACCAAAAATAATTCCCAACTTTGGATTTGTTGCGAAGAACAATCACTCCACTGGGAGTGAGTCCAAGAAAATATCCAATGCTGTTTTCGCCCTTTAAAATATGCAATATAAACATTTTCATATCTTGTAACAGTAATAGTCAGTATCGTAGAAGCAGACTACTCAACAGATGACAGTGTTATGTTTTTATAAAATTATACATTATTCTCTGGATGCAACTATAAATAAAGAAACTGTTTGTTTGTAATCAAGTACAAGACATATAAAGAAACTGGAGGAAATCATTGATTTATATTCCTCTTTAGTAAACGTTTTTATCTTGTAATTAAATGACAAAAATGTCGTCAACAAGTTAGGAAAACACAAAGATCCAAAAAATCAATCTAACACAAATATAGGAAACTCTATAACCCAAGCACTTTCGAAAGTTTGCCCCTAAAGAAGGGTCCACCTTTCGAAAGCGCTCGGGTGATAAGGTTTCGTATCTTTGTGTCATCAACCAGTTATTTCTGAAGTTTAATACATTTGAAATGACATATTACTTATTTGTGAATCTTTGTACGCTTTCATAAAGGTAAGATATGAGTCCTTAAAACCTACTCTTGAAGTTTTACAACACTTATCAAACCTTGGAAAAAAATGTCTAAATCTCTAATTTGTTATTTTTGTGGGGAGTACATGTATTGTGGGGAATACACTACATATCTGTTAAAGCGGTACCTAATGCAGCCCCCCGATGACTGTTGAACACTACAATAATACCGGCTTTTCCTACCATGGCAACATCCATAACCTATACAGACTTTCTACAATACATTCAATTTTAGATGTTTGTGACGACAAGCTGGAAGCAGTAAACATTTTTGAATTACTGTAATTGAGTTGCAGTATCTAAAATACACCCTTGTATTTATCAGTAATATTAAACATCATGTTTGATACTTGTTTTCGTAGTTTACTACTTCTCATCAAATTATCGATAGCTTTCATTACACTAGCCAAGTTTATATTTTCATATCAAAATATACTGTAACTCTTACAGCTTTTGTTTCAACTTGGTTATTAGTAACAACGGATCTTGAAGTTTTACTGTTCCACGCGACAACACTATTATAATATGAAACAATAATTCAGAAAAAGCCCACAGTTACCATAACAGGATGAAGATCAACTCCATACATATCTAACCATTTAACCCTTTCCAAGAAGTTGAGTTCCGCTGTCGCTGGTTCTTGACCCCTATAGCAATAGGAAATATTATCAAAGCAACTCTTGGAACGAATTTCAAATACCATGTTTAAGCATAACTACACTATCTATCTCTCTCTCTTATATATACATATATAAATAATTTAAGAACAACAAGAATCTTTCGGTCCATCTAGGCCGTTCAATCCACTAAAGTAAACTTTAGAATAAAAATGACGCACTCAAAGCCAGTTCTTATCATTAAAGTATTTATCAGACCTCCTTTAAAGTAACCGCATCAACCACATTTGAAGACAACCCATTCTAGAGGCTATCCACCCTGTTAGAAAGATAAATATTTCTGAGATGAAGATGACTCCTTCCCTGCCAAAATCAATGTTTGTGTCCCCTAGTCCTACCAATCTCACCGTTAAGTATGAAAAAAGATGAAGAAAAAACACTATCAATTCCCTTAATAATTTTAAACACTTCAATCAGATCCCCTCTAACTCTTCTACTTTCAAGAGAAAACATTTTCGAAGAATAAAGTTGAAACTTACGATTTAATGATGCAAAATGTATTAAGTCTTGGTAGCCTTAATATTGCTTAAAGTGAACGTTCTAGTTAATATAGCATTACTTACTATCCACTATTTTAAGATGGGTCAACTTGATATTTTCATGTATATAGTATCCTATTAATATAATACATCCTCTTCATATTCATAATTATCTAATTCAGTAATACAATTGTAGGAATAATATCAATCACATCAAACAGACAAATAAAAATTGGTAACAAAATGATAACTAACACTGAAAGTTAATAATATATGCTGATATTAGTTATAATAAAATTTCACACAAAGAAAATAGAATAAATCAAAACTGATTTTAAATTTATGAGTGTTCTCTTCCTACTTTGGCTTTCAGTACACAAAAATTAAACAAGTATATCTTATAAAATATGAAAAGGTAACTCCAAGTTAAAAACAAGAACACGATATCCGTTATTCTATATTCATTACAACTGACGAGACCAGAATATATAGTTCAGTTGATGAGCTTTTACTGAATCTTAAGTTTGTGTAATAAACCCATTTCACTGGCATTTTAAGACGTGGGAAAACAGACTACTCACACAAGTCCTTTATGCAATTCAAGAACCTTAGCTTCCAGTTCTTGTGTTTGATTACTGAGGAACCTGAATTCTGAAACATACCCTGAGTGATGTCTTCTGTAGTCATAGTCACCTAATTCAGCTGTAAGAGCAATATTATTTATATTAAAAACAGTAACAAAGATAATAAATATAGGCAAAACGTGTGTGACAGCTAACATTGAATGCTCATAAGACATAATAATCCTAGTAATAATGAAGATACGTAAAAATAAGAAGAAATTAAAATTGATTTAAGATAAAAAGAAAAAAGAACAGACTGGCTGCACATTATAGTAGCGTTTCTTTATATAATGGGGGCCTAGCGTGTTCTAGTGATAAGAGCACTAAACTATGGACCTGCAGATCCAATGTTCGCGTCCCGTTATCGAAATAAAAACGCACTTTGAGGCCACGGGTGCGTTACAAGAGTAAAAGTCAATTCTCAGTATTCGGTCAGAAAAGAGTAGCCATGCAGTGCCCTTCCACCCAGTCTATTGGGTTAATCCTTTGGTAGCTGTGCAACAATATTCGTAAACGAACAAACCAACCTTATCTAATGACGTGACTTCTAGTATCAAAATTTATGACACATCGACTGAAATCGCTTCCCGGTGTAGCAATTTCAGATTACCCCTGCTTCACCTTACCCCATGGTAACTTAAAATCGCGTTCAGTTTACCGGGAGGTAGGATGAAATCGATTTCAAATTACCCCTGGAGGTAGCTTGAAGGTGATTTCAACCTACCCCGTACGATTTCAGATTACACCCCTCAAAACATTTATTTATTTATGTTTATAATATAATTCACTCTTGTAATTATTGTGATTTTTTTCTTCTGGATTTCTCCAATTAGGTTGGATCTTTGTATATCTTATGTTTGTATGTAACATGTCATGCACTTTGAACTAGTGTATGAGTCGTTTTAATATAATTAACATTTTTGTGACATTGTTTATTTTTTTAGATATTGAGACTAACTTTCAATCTTGTATGTTTCACTTGTTTTATTCAATAAACATATCATGAGCTGTAAGCATAAGAATTTATCATTTTACCTAAATCAGCGAGGGGGGTAATATGAAATCAGGTTCAGGCTACCCCCGGGGGTAATATGAAATCGATTTCAGATTACCGGGAGGTAACTTGAAAGGGGGGGGGGTAGCTTGAAGTCTTTACACTGGTTCAGCAATGAGTCAGGGCTTATCACGATAAAAATCGAGCTTCGATATCCGTAACGGGCAGATCACAGATAGCCCATTGTGTAGTTCAACAAACAAACCGACTTAAATTTAACATTGCTGTTATTTCACTCATTCATTTACCGTTAATAAAAATCCTCTAAACTAAGTTAAAAAGTATATTTTTAGTGAATCATTACATACACAAAATTAAAGAGTAGAATCTGTATCATAAAGAAAAGAAGTTTGTATCTGTCCAATTAAAATACATTAACATTTTAATACATACCTTGTAAACATTTTGCGACGTACTCCAATTATTATAATTCTCCTTTGAGAAATTATATTAATTGTACAAATAATTCTTTTATGAATAATCTAAAATATATTTTATTTTTGTGGAGCCAGCGAAGTATGACAAAGCATACGGAAATATTATAAGTTTTAAGTTAGACCATTTTAATTTTTATCACTTGTCTTGCTTTAAAGGGGATAATATTGATATTAAAAAGATGGAACGGTCACTATCTTTAGTCTACAAATCAAAGTTTTTGTTTCCTGCATCAGTCATTTTCATGATTTTAGACAAAAAGTAGTAAGGTCTCGTTTCATATTGAGAGTCGTTGATGAAAAGAAATGATATAAGAATCATTTTTAGGTTACGGTTACAGGTTAGATTTTATGTCAACAATCAGCTTACTAATATGAAAAACCACTATATTTGGTTTAATAGTTTTGCAAATCTATTATTATGGCTATTTTTGTTAGAAAAATATTCAATATAAATTAGTTCTTCCACGCCCCCCAGTGGCACAGCGGTATGTCTGCGAACTTACAACGCTAGAGACCGGGTTTCGATACCCGTGGTGGGCATAGCACAGATAGCCCATTGTGTAGCTTTGTGCTGAATTACAAACAAACAAGTTCTTCCACATCATTCTTGACACAGATCTTTGAAAACAAATGCCATATGTCGTGTAACCTTAAGCATTATTAATCTTGAAAGATGTTTCTGTACAACCTAAATCTGCTTTTCAAAAGACTTCGCATTGTTGTTGGTTGTGTATTTCATTTAGATGTTTGTATTGTGGTTTGTTCAGACGTAGGTTTGTCTTCAGTATGGCTTAACATCTGAAATTTCCACCAATGGTTTAAAGCAGTTCGAGCAGTAGGTCGCTAGTTAGGCTAAAGTAAATAAGTATCATTTCTTAAATCTGTTAGCAAGTTACATTGAGTCTGAAGTAGTGGGTTATTATATGATTGATTTCGTTAGTCAGTTAGAGTTTTAGAATATTAAGTTTGTTATCGACGTTGTAATAAGATATACTTTGTACGTTGTGTAGCGCACGATAAATTAGCAAGTAAGTGAATTTGCTAACTAGAATCTATTGTGAACTTAGACAACACAAGTTAACTTCTGGTCGAAGAACTAAAAGAACCTGTCCAACAATAGAGGCCGTTAGAACGGTGTTTATGCTTCACGAGAACAAATTAAGCCTCACTTGCTACCGTTTTTTAATATATTGTCACTTTTACTTGGAAGAATTATACCGAAGTTCTTACATTTTCTTAACACTGTTGTTCGCAGATTGAAATAAACGGCGAATAAGCTACTTCATTTGATTAAGAACGTGAATTACTACAATTTGATATCACTAGTATTTTCTAAAAAAGAGTGTACAATTAAACTGGAAATTAAGTAAAAACATATACATTCAAGCAGGAATAATAAGAAGTGGAACGACAAACCTAAAGAAACTAAGAAAATGGTTTGGATAAAAAGTTTAGAAAAACGACCTTTACATTCCAGATATATATAAAATATACATATATATTTTAACAACGTTTCGCCTTTGCGGCTTCCTCAGGGTTAATATACACAATTTGAAAGCAGCAAAGGCAAAATGTTAGGTTAAATAATAATAGAAAATTATATATATATCCAGAGTGTAAAGGTCGGTTTTCTAAACTTTTTATTAAAATGTGTAAGTCTCTCCAGTATGCACTACAAATTTTGTGAGAAAATGGTTATTTGATTGAGTTTTTCTTTCAAATATTTTTGACATTTTACACTCCAATTTTTAAATTTGGCTAACTCTCATCTATTAGAAGTTATTATTGATACTATATAATTGCCGATTTGGATTTGTAATTTTCAATTTAAACAGCATCTTTTCATCTTGTGCGCACGTGGACTAAATAGTCACTGACCAAGAAGAAGGCAGCTAGTTCGGGTAGTAACACTCGCCGCTAATAGAGGTTTATACGGCTTTTTAAATCAAATAACTGGATTCAGTGTCACCGTTACTACACGCCCACAAATGAAGGTGTGAAAAGTGTTCTCCAGCATTACTTCTCGAATTCTGAAACTCAAAACAATAATCACTAGACCACCCTATCGCAGAGCTCACGCAGATAACGCTTACTAGAGAAATACTAAAATTATCACTAATGAAAAGACATTTTGAAATTTAACGCCACGAATAATTATATTTTGCCAATTCCTAGATACGATGCACATATACATTGGCATGTAGCAGACAAACTTATACTCATATAAAGTAGAAACATACAAACAAATACGAAAAACCAAAGAAACGCTATTTGCCGCCGTCCACAACTTTGAAGCACAAACCGCAGAAAAAATATCATCACTCTCACAACGTACACACAGCTTACAGTGCGGGAAATATTTTGAGGCATTGCACAGATTCGAACTCGGGGCAGCAACTCCGAAATCCAGAGCTGTACCAAAAGACCAACCCGCATTCACCATTGAAATAATTCAAAAACTTTTACAATATAGGTAAGCACAAACCTAAACAAGAAGCCATCTGTGCTCTACCCATCACGAGTATCGAAACCCAATTTTAGCACCATAAACACTGGGAGCATTATAAAGATGATCCACCGTGTGTGTGTGTATGTGTAAGCGTGTTTGTGTTGGCATTTATCACCCATAATTGGCTGGCTCGATTACCGTAAATTTCAGTATGGTAACTGAAAACTGTCATCCGATGTACACGGACTATTTTGTTCTATGATGTTTCCCGAGAAAGAGGATAAAAACACACTGAAATAGGGCACTTTTACACTTTTTCTTAGAGACTTTTGGCTTTGAATTTAAAGACAAAACTACTTAATCAGTTAATTGAATCAGTTATTATCTTCCGCAAAGCATGGTATGCAATTAGCATCTAATGAGGCCAAAAGAGATTTAGTAATAAAAAATGAAGAGGAGAACATTATTTAACATTGTCCTTCATACAGTTTTTGCTTCCTAAACAGGTACCTTCAGCTAGTTTTCTATACACAACACTTTAGGTTGCATGAAACGTGTTTTTGAATATGATAAATGTACTTTCGTACTTAGTATAAAACACATTTTAACCGCGGCATAGCGCCTCATGGAATGGCTCTGAGTTTTTTACAAATACAAACTTTTAACTCATAGCTCCATCTCTGGATTGATTGGAGATCTAATTACAGCCGCAACTTTGAGGATTCTCTCCTGTTTAAATTATACAAACCTAACTTTATATGTGATTACTTAACGGAGTACTTTTAAATGTTAAAAGAAAGTTTAAAACGATAATCCGTTTAAACATGCGTTAACTGATCCAAACTTCATACTGAAGTTAACTTAAAAGAAAAAAAAGGAATTTAGCCAGTTGAAGTGTATTTGTAATGAATAAAATCCTGATGTTACTGCGATCGATTTCTTTTCGACAGCTCCATCAGTTATACTGCTACCTGAATAAGCTAAGATGTTGTTTCAGTTATTTGACTCTCCTTTTTCGCTACAGAATTGAACATTCATCCTAATAAAACCCACGACAATCCTTCAAACAAAACTGATAAGATTTGAACTTTGACTACAAGGACGAATGTCTTTATGAAATCTGTTTTATAGACCTGACG